TTTCACACAATACGCTCGATAAGACCTTGTAACCTATGCTTAGAAGGTTGATCCCGCTGTAGTTGGCGCGAATGGCGGGGTCACCTTTCTTGTGGATTGGGCAGAGCACACTTAAATTCCAGTCATCGGGCATGCGTTCATCTGACCATATTCTGCACAAGAGTTGGTGCATGCATCTTATCAACTCCTCGCCGCCGTACTTGAACAGCTCAGCTGGCAGGCTGCCAGCTCCAGCGGCTCTGTTGTTTTTCAGCCGCGTTATTGCTATACGTACCTCGTCATAGTCAGGCGGTGGAACGTCGACTCCGTCATCATCGGCTGCGGGCTCGGGTTCTTCTTCTCCACAACTTTCCGTGCTGCTACCATTTAGTACGGTAGAAAAGTGTTCGCTCCATAATTTAAGTACGCTCTGGACATCAGTTACTAGTCGCCATTATTGTTCTTACAGGAGCGCGCCCGGTCTTTGAACCTTCCGTAAGTCGCCTAACTCTCTAGTAAAATTTTCGGGCATTCCTCCTATTGGCCAGCATTTCAAGCTCTTCGCACTCACGTATTTTTGTTTCTCTCTTCTTATTGCGGCAAATACGTCTCGCTTCCCTCTTCAGATCCCTATAGCGGTCCCACATAACGCGCGTAGCGCCCGATCGCAGCCCTGTATGCGGCATATTTTTCTCCGCAGCTTCCTGAAACTCCCCATCGTACCAGTTGTTCTTTCGGGCTCGCTGAAATCCGACTACTTCTTCGGCGGCGGTACTTAATGATCGGGAAATGTGGTTCCACTGCTCGCGTACGTCGGATTGTTGAAGAGTGCTCTCAGTGAGCAGGTGTGTGAGTCGAGTGGCGAATAAATTGGCCGTCTGTTGTGATCGCAGCTTTTCGACGTTAAGCTTTCCTTGCATATTTCCGCTCACATTTTTTGCTGCACAGAGGCGGGTGCGTATCTTGGCTGCCACAAGATAGTGGTCCGAGTCGATGTTTGGGCCTCGGAGTGTGCGTACGTCTAAAACACTGGAAGCGCTCCTTCCGTTTATCACCACATAATCGATTTGGTTTCTCGTTTTTCGATCCGGAGACAGCCACGTAGCTTGATGGATATTTTTATGCTTGAACCTAGTACTGCATACTACCATGTTTCGGGCCCCGGCGAAGTCGATCAGCCTCAATCCGTTGTCGGACGTTTCGTCATGGAGGCTGAATTTTCCGACGGTGGTTCCAAAGACCCCTTCCTTGCCCACTCTGGCATTGAAGTCGCCAAGCACGATTTTGATATCATGACGGGGGCAGCGCTCATAGAAGAGATCTTTGGATGCCTCATCCTTCTCTTCCGTCGGGGCATGGGCGCAGATGAG